CATGCAAAACAGTTCAATAAGAATCTGATGCATCTTTTCTTCTATTGAGAGTGAGAATGAATGTGCAGAGGTAGTGAAAGGGATCGTTTCCTATCTTTGGATCCTTGTTTGGGAGTTATTTGCAGACCCCTTCCCGTGATGCAGGAGAATAGCAAATAAATGCCTGTATCCAGGTTGCTCGTGATAAAGACTAAGCCATGTCCTGTGCAGCCTGGTTTAGAGGTCCGTTACAGATCCTGGTCTAACTCCTGTTCAGTCTAGCCTGTTCTGGCCACCAGCTAAGGACTGAATGCAGAGTGGCTGCAGGGACTATTGGCCTCTTTTTGTTAATAAATGTACATTCTGCAGAACTCCTGTTTGTGGGAGGCTGTTTCTGGAGGAAGGGTACCCAGAGAAAAAAGGTTTGCCCTGCTCTGACAGTAGTGAATAGGTCTCTCCAGGAACCTTTCAGGCCGTCTGTCCCCAAATTGGTCATGCTTTAGGAGGTAATGACCCAAGAAGATAGTAGCTGCAAGAAACCAGGAGCCTAGAGCTCCTGGATACTATTACAGAAATAAAGCAGTATAAATCTGGCTAGCCTTGGAGAGGGAATGCATGCTGCTCCAGCCAACAGAAAAGCCTGGGAGAAGTAGATCCCTCATGAACAAGAAAGCAACAAATGTGCCAGTCACTTCAGGCAGGACATGGCTCTTGGGTGTCCCCAGAAAGGGGAGCATTCACCTTTCATTTTTCCTGTGTTCAGCCACTGTCCAGGTGGTTTCAGCCAGCCGCTGCAGAGAGAAGCACTTGCCCTTCCTCAATAATCCCTCACTTCTCTTCCTGCCTCAGCTGCTCTGGAGCAGCGCAGATCCCTCGCCTGTCATCGCACATCAGGGGATGCTGCCCGCGCCAAACGGAGTACGGAGGAGTAAAGGCCAAGTGCTGCCCTCTGAGCTATTCTTGGCACTCCCATCGACTGCAGTGCACACTGTGTTTGCGTTGGAGGCACTATTAACACTAAGGTGATATCTTCTACACAAAAATAAAATGCATCCATGCTTTCAGGCTATTATGTAGTCTGGTTCTCCCTCTTGCTTGAGGTTTATTAACTAATAACCAAGGAAACCTGTTTTGAGTGTCAGAATCTCACAAGGCATCTCTTCTTCTACACAAACTAATCTAGTATTTTACTCAACAGAGATGGAACAACCATTTAACCCAGCTAATCAGGACTGTCCCTTGGCGTATTTTTAAGCTTTCAGCTTGATAATAAGGTGCTGCTGCTCTGGAATTTGCATCCTGTTAGTTTGCTTTAATAACTCACTGCCAGTATCTCCGTGAAAAGATTCTGGGCAGGGGGTTGCTCTCCCTCGCATCGTCTTTACATTCCAGACCCTGCCTCGGCTCCTTCTCTGGGGAGATGCTAATCTCATAGTGTTTTACTTTTTACATTTTGGTCCATATGTGACAACTGTGTGTCTGATCACCACAATCTCGCACAGTTATTGTACCCCAGGGAAAAGAAGCCAAAAAAACATATGGGGCTAGAGAAAACGGTGTGCTTCACTGCACACAGGCGTATTTCAGAGACAACAGATTCTTCGTTATTTTGCAGAAAATATGTGGGCTCTCTAAAATCTTCTGAAAGTGAAATCAAGGTTACGATTGGCTTTTCCTCGACCAGTGCTGCAGAAATGCAAGAATTATTCTAAAACTGGTGTTTCAATTGTTAAGATTTTAATAATAATTTATGCCACTGACAAATCTCGATTGCTCATTCACCGAGGACTACTATCAGAAAAAAAAAATCTGTTTTTGTTTTCTGCTGGTAGCATGGATTTCCTGAGCAAGTGGGCACACGGATGCAAACACCTGCACATGCATACACACCAGGGTTGACAGTCACAAGCTGAAGTGCTATTTGAAAACCATTATAGACTTGCACCTCATCTAGCCCTGCATCCACTCCCACCTTTCTCCATGGCTGCTCCTCCAGTGACTCGAAGCAAGCAATTTTCTTTTCCTTTATCCAACCCTCCCCATATATCCACACAGATTTACTGCAGCCTCTTGTAGCCTTAGCAACTGCTGCCACTTAAGGTTTGTATACCGAGGGAAAGGTAGTAGGAAGGAGAAATGCCACAGGATAGAAAGGAGTATCTTAAACTGTGGGAGAAGGCAGATACTAAATTGTCTGAAATGTCTCTTGGTAGCCTTGATCACAGCTATCAGTATTTATGACTACAAACCAGACACAAGTTTGCAAAAGGCTCTTCTTGGGCCCAGGCATTTCCTCAGTCAGTCCCAGGCTGAAAAATGGACATTATCCAAACTGGGAGCTGGAGGCATCTGCCTGGTGTCCTGAGATGTTCCTGGGGCTGCACAGAGGAGAGATGCAAGAGTGGGAGACAGACCCAGAGAGCTGAAATTGCTGGAAAATTAATCTGGTTAGTTTGTTGAACCCATTGTCAAACGTCTTCTAAAGGTTGATCCACTTTATCCTGCTCTTAATTTGAGTTTAAGTCCCATCAGTGCTGCCTTCTGCTAGCACCAGGACCCCTTGAGACATGGGAGGGAGTCACCAGGATGGGGATGCGATGGCCGGTGCACAGGCAGCTCAGCAATAGTTACAAGTATGAGCAAGTGAAATAAAAAAAAAAAAGAGTTTGAAAGGCATGTCTTCACCTAACGTGCCAGTATCCAGCACTGTAAAGTAATGAATGTGCTGCATTATGTGTGTATATACATAAGACAAGAGCATATTTTAGTGTGACGTTTCTGATTTCAGAAAATCTTTAGTCAAAATCCATGGTGACTGCCTTTTCAAACCTGCTACAGAAAGTCTTCCAGGAATCAAATACGGAATTGTAAATGACATTAACGATTGTTGCAAACTTTACTACGTGAAATATTAATTTAATACATTTTTGTTCCAACATTGTGCTCAGCAGAGATATGCTGGATAGAGTATTCAGCTATTGCCGTCATAGGCCTTACAGTATCTCACAAAGTGATTATCCAACACGCAGTTTTGAGACTATTAAGAAAAAGCTATCTTATGGCTGCATGAAAAAAACATAATGCTAGCCTATCAGAGCCTCTCAGAGTCTAAAATAACAAATTAACAAAAAATAATTGCTTTTCTTAAGTATCATCAGCTTAAAAATATCCCTGAAATCCCCGCGTTAAAGGTCTGTCTTTTTATCGAACACCTTCTTAAGGCCTTCATTACCAGGAGAAGCCGTTCAAGGATTTTCGTAGTATTAACTCAAGGGAAGGAGCCCCAAATACATCAAAATCAGGAACATTTTGCCTGTTTCATATTCATAGTTTCTTCTTTATGTGTGACTGATTTATTCTGCTGTGTGCCCCCAGGGTGTGCATTGTCCAAAATAAAGGCTGCCAAAAAAAAATGAGAACAGGGAGCACGTAGGGTGGGGGGAGTTCAACCGATGTTTTTAAATGCTGTGAGACTACTGCACGTCTTGCATCCTCGTCTGTGAATTCACCTTATGGTCTTTCTTAACAAAAGCATACTCACTAAATAAATAACTTCAGCACAATGCAAGACATCGTGCCTGAAAATAGAAAGCTGCTCCGAGACAATGACTCCGTGCTGTGAAATCTGCTCTCTCCTGCTTCTCTATTGTCTTAAGTTGTACTTGTGCTGCCATAGCATGTGCCCGCATTATAAAGCACTGTGCCTGTGCACTGGAAAGTACAAATGCATAGAAAGCAAGCACCCATGATTATTTTAGGTCGTGATTTTGCCTTAGAGCGTGGTTTGATTTTCAGTGACTTTTTTTCTCTGTGGTGTGTATGGATGTTGAAAACAAAGGGAGCACGAATTACTTTGTCAAAGTCAGCAGAGCCGGCTCTGCAGAGTGGGCTCTATGTGGAGAGCACAATGCCCGAATTACAGAGAAGCAGACTGAAGGGGAAAAAAATACATTTCAGCCAGGGAGCAGGCAGCTTGGCAAAAGGCACAGCTCAGAAGGCCACCAGCAAACTTTCCCCACGTGTTGAGGAGCAGTTCGCGAAGGGCTGCAGCAAGGGGGACCTTTTTGCAGTGGGAAGCTATTGTTAAGCACCCCGACAGATGAGAGCAGACCCTTCTTCTGCCACAATAGCTGCTCACGCCAAGCAAGACTCATTAAATATTCAGTTCCAGCCTCAAGCAGCTCATTAAGTCAGCAATGAGCAGTGACGCTGGTGTTGGAAAACCCTGCCTCAGTTAACATCACCATGCAGAGTCTCCTCGGATCTCTTGATGTTATTCTGCTCAGTACATTTTCTGTGATGACCAGCTTGTGCTCTCTGCTTTGCATTAAATACAGGTAAAAAAGAGTCAAGTGGATTTAAGTTCTCCTATTCTTTACAGGCCTTTTCTGAGACGAGTCCTGGGGCCCAAGCTGAGTGTCTATTGCATTTTTCTGTAGCAGTTTACAAGAGGAGGATGGGACGAGAGTTATATGTTTTTCATGTTAAAAACCAAACAAACAAGAAAATGTAGTATTTGAAGGCTAACTTTTGTAGCAGAACATCATGACATGCAGTAGTTACAGATGCTGTATTACTGCATGTCAGCTGTTATGTAGCAGAAACTTTCACAGTAAGTGTGTTTTCCCTGGAAATGCTGGTGTCTTAAGTGGATTTTGGCTTGAACTGTATGCTGAATATGTTTCTTGTGTGCAGAGTTTCTTTCTGAGTGATGTTGTTTGTAACCTGTTTTGCAACCACTAACTTTTGTGAGTATAATTTCGTATTCAGTAGTGTTTAGCAGTAATACACGGAGGCATTTATGATGGTGGATGTCAGATGTCAGTGTATTAGAGCACACCAGAATCTGGAATTAGGATTGTAATTGTAGAAAATGGACATATGTTTCCACGCATCAGTGTTTTGAAACTGTAATATCTGAAAGTATGGAGCAGAAACGGAACATGTGCAAAAGTTTTTGACTTTTTTAAGAGAGCAGTTTTTCCCACACTGAATCTATTTTTCTCTTTTTCTTTTAACAGAAAGTGTTTTCAGACTGCCCATTTCTATGTGGAGGACAGCAGTTCCCCCCGTGTGGTCCCCAATGAGAGTATTCCCATTATACCTATTCCAGGTAAGATAGGCTTAATCCTGTGTTTGTGCTACTCGGAGTCTGTTTTAATTATATAGAGAAGAGAAGGTTATTCTTGTGGTAAATCATGTGGTTGGGGTATAAATTTGTTGTATCGGTGCTGCTTCATTTAATTTAAAATGCTTTGCTTTGCTTTTTGGCTCTGAGTGACAATGCTGTATTTTTCCATAGGCACCTCTCCCACATTGTTTTAATAGAAATTTCAGAATAACCTTTGCAAAATGTCAAACCCATGAGCAACACTTCTCAAAAGCACTAAGGTATTGCATCCAACGTGAAACCAGCTGCTCAATCAGGGCAGATTGTGGACAAGGGATATGCAGCTCCACTGCGCTCGCAAGGCTTGGGGGACTTGCCCCCCACTTTCAGTGTGTGCAGAGGTGATGTCTGCTGGGGCTCAGGGAGGAAAGCAAGACACAGGATAAGCAAACAATCTCAAGTAAAGTCCAAAGCCATCTGTTAATTTGGTATTAATCAAGTTACCAAAGGTCAAATTCTCCTCTCAGCTATACTGAGAATGAAGCTGGAAGCAGAATTTAGCGCTATTCTCTCTTCAAGAAGCATTTCCCCTGGGAATTATTAACCACAAGATCCAGCTCTCTTTAAGCTGTGATGACAGAGAGCAACCTGGTGTTACCGTGGCCTTTGCAGCAGCTGCCTTGTTTGATGCTGCTAAGTTTCCCAGGCAGAATTAGAGATACCCAAAATGTTGTAATGACCTCAGTCCATCATATGCTCATACTTGTTTCTTTAAGGTGTTTTCCTTGTCATATTCTGTAATTTGTGTTGTTCGTCTAGGATTCAATCTGCAGCCAATTAGGATCCTGTTACCAAAAAAAAACCCATCCAAAGCCATCTTTTAGACACTGAAGAAACATGCCTCCTAGAAAAGTGAAAAAATCCAGTTATATTTTCCTTGATTTTATTTGGTAGACATGTGTGACTTGTTTCTAGAAAGAGTCTTTCAAAGTACCCATGGGAACTAGTATGAAAGGTTAGCTATTGCATTCCTTCAGAAAATGTTAGGCAGTTTGCCTTGCAGTCTGATGCTGTGCTACTGAAAATGAAAGAAAATATGCTATCACCTCCTCTCTTTCTGTGGCAGACTAAGACACATGTCCTGGCCACCTTGCTTCTTTAGCAAGCCGCCGTCCTGCTTCTCCTTTAGGGTAACAGGAGATGGGAGGCTTTAGTCTTAGACCACCTACAATAAGTTTTCACAAAATAAAGTTCTTCCTACTCTGAAACCAGGAGGAGCGCTTCCCTCTTGAGGTTGCTTTGGGGAGTCAGCTTACTGGTGTTATCTCCTTAGAACACGTGAGGAAGGGGAGAGTGGGCTAAGTCTGTGCAGAGCAGTGTCATAGCTTGGGGGATTGTGAGCACAAGGCAGTGGGAGGAGGGAAATTCTCCCCCCAGAGAGAAGTCTCTTTGGCCAATGAGCCAATGGATAGGGGTTTTTTTTTCTGTAATTGAGGCTTCTTAGATAAAGAAACCAGCAGAAAGGTTGTTCTTTTCATGCTGCGCTCTGTGTTGTTGAGGCAGTGGTTCTTCCTTGTTTCGCAGGGATGTTTTGATGGTCAGTCCATTAAAGATGGGTTGGCATTCATATAAATTGTAATATAGGCTGTAGAAGTACCATTAAAACCGTGCAGGTGGCAGGCGCCGTAAAGCCAGCACGGAATGACAGAATGGTAGGGGCTGGAAGGGACCGCTGAAGATGGCCTGCACTAATGCTTCTCCAGCAGCCATTCTAGCATGTAAAAACAAGTGACTGAGAGCAGAAGAGTGTTGCCTCTTGGAAACATCTTCCCATGACTAGAGTAAGCCAAGCTGTTGGACCACAGCAGCTTGGGACTGACATGATGCTGCCATCGCTGCGATGCACATCATGGTCTGCTCAGGCTCAGGAATGCTAAGAAAGAGCTGCTCACCCCAATAATGGGCACTGCAGATTAAGGCACCTGCTGAGCAAGTGCTGCAGCACAGCTTGAGAAGGTTTGTACTTAAAAATCTGCCAGGACTGCTGGTGAGCTCTGAGGCACATGAAGAACTGAGCCTTAGACAGAGGTTTAGTCTAGCTGGATGTAAAAGTGAAACCAGCCCTTAAATTCCTAATGACAAGATTTTTGTAGATATGTGGACATACAAGACAACTCCATACAGACACCCAAATATGGGTGCCTGAATCTGAAGCTGAACCATGTCCACACGGTCTTAAGAGAGAGTAAACTGATGAATTTGAAGATCTTGGTACCGACAGTAAAGCTATTCAGGCCCCCAAAAGCCAAATCCCGCTCTAGAAGTGGCTCACTCTTTCTGTGCATTAACTACTGTCTGTACAGGGAGTTGTAATGAGGCTCAGAATTAGCAGAGATGAATTCCAGGTATGTTGACTTTTTCCAAAAATGGGAGATACTGCCTGGAAAGATGCTGAAGTTCTCCGAAACATTTTCCTTGTTTGGAGATGTAGAAGAGGCCTGTTTGTTCCAATATACCTGATGTTAAATTCCAGTCTTCTCTGATGTCAGCTGCTGCTCCCACATAGGCAGCCCACTGAAATGTCTTAAAAACATTAAATGACAAAAATCCTCTTCAAACTGGTTGCCACTGTGATGAAATGATGAGCCTCTGAACTTTTCCTCGGGAAGCTGCCAGAGGGTGTGAGAAAGTCTTACTTGCCGTGTTGATCCTAGAAGCAAAATATAAGTGGCATTTTCACAAAAGCAAGCTTTTCAAAGTAACCGTGTTACGTTGTGAAATTACAAAAGAAATTTGACTAGATCCCCGTGGGACCATACATCTACCTCCTACCATTCAATAGACCAGCTTCTACTCACAATTACAAGCGAGCAACCACACCGATGGCAATTTAGAACCGTGTGTGAAAGATGTTTAGTAGATTTGCCAAGGCCCATCTACAGCATGCAGCGAGCAGACGGTTGGAGGAAGCTGAGCAGGTTTGGGTTGGTTGGTCCTGGCCCAGGTGTGGGGTGGCTCTGCCAGGTGTCTGCGAGCCCGGCACAGCGACATCCTGACACAGCTCGAGAGGTTTCAGAAGCGGCGCTGGTGTCTCTGCGTGCCACCGCTCTGCTCCGTGACGTGTCGGCATGCTCAGAGGTAGCTTTTGTGTTTATTTCTGTGCCGCGTTCTGCTCTTGTTGAGGCAGACCCTTTGTTTTCTCAGGTTTACGATTTCTAAAAATCAATCTGCCAGCCACCTGCAATAGGCACACAGTGTGACTTTTCAGGTCCAAAAATACAGAAAAATCTTTCTGTAAAGGAGTGGATTTACCCATTTTCTGTTTCGCTTCCCATGGCATAAGTGCTTAATTATTGTGCATGAAGCCACATCACCCATAGGTGTGTGCTTATCTGTGCAAATTTGCTCTGAGACCCAAATCATTATCATTATTCATAATTATCTGCACTGCTTGATCTAGAGAAACACAGGACAAAGAAGATATTATTAACTGAGTCACCCACTGGATTTTACAACTAAGGTATAAATCTAAACTCATGTAAGCCTTGTGCCTGACAATTATGTATCTGTAATCAATGGCAGATTTCTCAACTCCCCTGTCATTCAGCCCAACAAAATTATTTTTTCCATAACTTGTCTCTTCGCCTCCACATTCAGTTAATTTTGGCCACGTCCATATCATCTTTGCCTGTATCTCTTCACTATAACATTTGGTCTTGGCAAAATCTCTTTCTCAACAAGCCAGCTCCTGTTCCTGTTTGGGGGTTGGGTTTTTTCCATAGCTGCGTAAGTATCTGCTTAAAACTTTTCTAGACTTGATCCTTTTTGGTAGAGTTGGATAAGTAAGAACTGCAGCAGCAGAGCTGCAGACCTGTGTGTTTTGCAGCTCTGCAAAACAGAACACATCCCTGAACAGTTTTCCTTTCTTCTCGTTGCAAGACTTGCTCCACGACAGCAGTGTGCATCTCTGTGCAATTTAGATATCAGAGTGGAACTAGTACAACTTCCACTTCTCCTCCTCCTATCCTTTATTTCAGCGCTTCCCTGCTTTCAGGTGGTGCACTGGAGCTGGCTGGGGCTTTACTGGTTCCTTGCCCAGCCCACGGGCACTACAGACACTGTGGCACTTGTGTCAGTGGGGCTTGTTAGGAGACCAGTACGGAGATAGTTGAGACTTGACCATACGGCAAAACTCTGCGTAACGCAGTCTTGACCACGGTCCAGGGAAATGTGGCTCATAAAGAACACGATGGCTGGCCAGTGCAGCTGGTTCATTTAGCGTATTATTCCAGATGTCTTTCACTATTTTTAGTACAAATAAAATGTCTCGGTTGTGATGCCAGTTATTTCAGCTGTGTCTAGACTGCAAAGCTCAGGAGCACTTCCCAGCGCTTTGATCAAGGTGCATGCAGTTTTAGGTGTAATGGGCAGTAAATTAATTTTTTTAACTAGTACTAGAGTTTATTAATACTGTATTTAAAATAACCAGTGGCAGAATCTGATGGAGAAAAACTCTCATGCTTCTTCAAGAATGACTTAATGTGGGTGCATGAATCCAGGAAATAGCGGAGTAGACAAGTACATTGTAATGAAAAGGTGTCTTGACCACCTCATGCAGTCATGTGAAGGTGTGAAGGCCAGTGCAGCCATGGCCCTCCTTCATTTCCCTGTGTCTTTTCATGCTTACAAGAAGGACTCCCATCAAGAATCCATTTTATTAATTCTTTACTTCTCTTAAATCTCTGCAAAATTTTGAAACCTTCTTCCTTATTCTTTCAACAACTATGGTTATCTTCAACCTTTCCTGATGAACATCAATGGTTAGACTTCATGTGTTTTTTGCAAGCTCAGTTCATGCTCTTGTGATATCTTCTGGTAGCATCGACCCTATGACAAACTTTCTATTAAGAAACTGTACCAAGAGGTATCTCATTTGACAAGGAAACTGCAGGTTCCCAGGGGAGGCTTCATGTCTCACTGTTTCCTGCTAAGACTTAACTATC